AAGATAGGGTTTTCCATTTTGCAATATAATAATAATTATTACTGTTATCCAAGCTGTAAATTATAATCAACAGTATTTCAGGTAATATATTTAGAAATAAATACCATCTCATAGTATTTACTCATTTTATTGGTAGAGTTAAAATCAAAACATCATAATGATAAATAATCTGGATTTTCAGTCTAGATTCGTGTTGTTCAGCTTGCTGATTTTTCGATCCACACGTTTGAGTCTGTTGTAAAAATTAAAAGTTACATGAATAATATAAAATATAGAAAGAAGTGCATAAATAAGCCATTTAAGGTAATATTAATTTAAACATAATAGTACTTCTAGAGAAAAAAAAGAAGATAAAAAGTACATATTAATTAAATGAATAAGAATTATTCACGAAACAACTAAGGCTTTATACATCATACAGTGAGATTTAATAACTAAAAGGAGTATGAATAAGTTTGTGGAGCAACAAATGTAATCATATTATAATTTTTAAAAAGTAAGTAATATAAATCGGAGCTTGAAACGGAAAAAACTTTTTTTTTTTTTAAAGTTTCGGTGTCACTGGAATTTTTATTGTTGATATTTTTTCAGTTCTTTTGGAACTAGAACTTTTTCCCTTGCTACTTTTCAAGAAAGTTTTTACTGTTCCTTTATTTTTGAAAAACTGTTATTTCCGTCGATTTCACTAAAAATCTAATATAAAAATGACTTTTTTTCACAGCTACTCAAACAAACCACACAATTAGAATCATGTAATTTATTTAAGAAAAATTATTGCTATAATATAAGCCTAGTTATTGTTTATTTTTCATTTGACGGGAAATTTTTAAGAACATAAATTAGTATAAGTTAAACTTTTACCATAAACCTGGACCTTTATTACAAAAAAGTTCCTTAGAACTTTTATTTTAAGAACTTGTTTCCTAAAAAGTTGCATAGAAACTCTTAAAATGGCATATTTTGAAAAGTTCCATAAAAGTTTCAATCCCTGAAATAAATAATTGTTAAGCTATTATTTATATTAATTATTTTATAACATAGAAGTAGATGGAGTGAAACATGGAAACTGTCTCTGTAATACGACATTTTATTTAATTAAAACATGAAGGCCAAAAATCTTTTATAGGTTAGTTTCATATATTTGTTCTCCGGAGGTAAAGCACACCATGTCCATTTTTGTATTTGTTCAGGGAAGCCAATCTTCAGTAACTTTAAGCTACTAAAATTTATTTCTTAGTTACTAAATCTGTATCCCGGCAGTAAAGGATACCATGTCCATTTTTGTATTTGTTCAGAGAAGCCAATTTTTCATAACTTTGAGCTATTAAAATTTGTTTCTTAGATATTAAATTTTAATAAATTAGTTACCATTTTAATAAAAAAATGGACCTGGTGCCTTTTACTTCTGGAGTACAGATATATATATATATTTTTTTTTTTTTCATGCTTGCTTACATTTAGTAGCTATACGGGCATTATAATTTAAAAATATTATTTGATTTTTTAATTATTTAGCTTAGATCACTTGCACAAACAAAAGACAAAAACAAAGGACCAGTGGAAAAAAAAAATTTATATTTTGGGGAACTTCAGATCAAAATACCTCTCCAGAGATAATGACTAATCTGCATTAATGTGATTTGGAAATTTAGAGTGCCTGATTGGCCAATATATAGGAAATATTTCTAGATAACATATTTTTTTATTTCATTTAGTCTTATTATTTGAATGATAACTCTTTTTCTTAGTTCCTAACAGCCATAAAAGTGAAACTATGTTTGAGGGGGCCACCTACAAATCTCTTTCCCCACTAGACCAAGACAGTACCGTTATAGTGCCTGTATAATTGACAGGCTGTTACTCAAACCACTTCTTTGCATATTTCACAACTATCGATGGGACTTTTTAAATCGATACATAAATCGATACCTTCTCCGTATTCGATACATCTATTAAGGATTTATTTTATCCTTTCCCTTTCCATTCTTTTTTTTTTCTTTTTTTTCGACAACACAAACGACATTAATTCTCTAACAAGGTTTCCTTGTCATGTCTACATTACTGTTAACTCTTAGCGTTGACTGAAAATTACGTGTTTTGAGAAATATGTTTAAAATTAATTTATGAATTTACCAAACCGGTCATAGACTACACCGTTTTACGCTATTCGATCGTAAAAGGTCATCTATTTGAATGATTTGATTGTTTTTCCACAGTCATTTAAATGTTCCTTCAAGTGAAAATTATAAATTATACAGGAAAAAACCTTTCTTCAAATTGGAAGTAGCCGAATTTTAACTAACGCATTGGTCTCATTCGTATAAAGATGGGATCTTAAGGTTATTAGAATTAAATTAATGTTTAGAATTTCTATGAAGACCAGCTATAACTATCCGATTAATTCATGAGAAATTAAACTAATGTTCTTAGATTTAACCTTGAAAATCTTTGTGGCTTAAACTGCTTGTTCATGTGAACATATTTCAGATAAAACCATATATTCAATGTATAAAACAGTGAAATAGTTACAGTTATGTATAGTTGTACAAATATCAAATTGTAATCTAGTAAGGCATCATATTTTAAGATATGAACTGTTGTAAACTTTCGATCTAGAAGGGTTGGCTAGTGAATTCATCAATTTTAAATAATACACGGTTTTAAACTATGTTGTGAATAATACTCAACCATATAAGTACGTTTGAAATTTTTTCCTTTTAGATTATTAAACAAAACTTATCTATACAGGAAATAATTTTTAAAAAGTAGATAAAATAAAATATATATTTTTTTTAATATTTTAACGCTCAATTATCTGTGTTTATGGCGATCTAGACCTAGCCAAAAGGGCTTATTCTATTATTTGATATGGAACAAATAATAGGACATTCAGGCAAAATAATATCGTAACTACATTATTTAAAAAAAAGAAATTATTCTTAATGATATTTACAACTGTATTAAAGGAATGCATTTAGTAAATTTGAACATATGTATATAATGAAGCGAAAACACTTGTTGAAAAACTACCCAATGGTAGCACTCTAATATGTCTACATTAGGAGATCACGGGACCATCTTCTTTCCAGACGCCTCGGAGGGTTATCAGGAATTGAAGAGGAAGCAAGGTTAGGAACGAGAGGGTTGGGATGGTTATGAAGTTTATTATGGAAGGATAGGTATCTGAATTGGGCCAAATCGGAAACATATGGAACATTAAGGTCATTATGGATTATATTATTTGTTACAAAGTAAGGAGCATTAAAGATTTTACGAAGGATTTTGGATTGTAAGGATTGGATACGAGAGGAATGCGATGGTTTAGTGGAGTCCCATAGCTCAACTCCGTAAGTCCAAATAGACCTTATTACATGGGCCTTTTGTAATTAATTGGAAGTTTAGAGCGTTTGTCTAGGAAGTGCTAAAGTAATCGGAAACGTCGAGCGGTTTCTTGTCGTTTCAGTCTGGTATGAATAAAAAATTAATTTAAAATTTTGAAAACTTTCTGTCTTGAAAAAGATTATTCTATTTCAAAATGGCTCACAGTTCTATTGACCTTTAAACACTTTATATTTCCACATATCAAGGGATTACGGACTTTTTCATTAATTTCATAATCAGCTATGAAAAAAAAAAAATCATCGTTTATTTTACATATATGGATATTTTAATAAATTCATTTGTCTTATTTATGAAGTCCTCGTGTTTTAGAATTATTATTATTTTTTTTGTAATGATAGTTTGGTCGAAGGTGCGGTGAATAGCCACAAACTTTATATTGTAGCAGTGTTTTACCTACCTTTTCATCTACTTTGTAGGTACTACATGAGGGCATTTCATCTAGCATTTTCGGCAGAAGCTGGGAAAAGCAGTTGGGAATGAAACGTTACTATTAAAATTGTGATGACGACCTTTAACATAGGTGGAAACGTTGACAAATGTAATAAAACACTACTACAATATACAGTATGCATCTAATGACCGCACCCCCGACCAACTTCTTAAATTAGAATTCCAGTAAACTATCACCTCAGCATTATTGTTATTTTCTAAAAAAAAAAAAATGTATTTGTTTACCGATTCAGTCCAAAGAAACATTATCCATTCATAAGGAGTTGCTACCTTCTTAAAATTCTTTTGTAAATACTTTTAACAACTCAGGCTTACACAAATAGGTAAAAACGTATTTAAAAAAAAAAAATAGAATATGTTTTTCTTGTAGAATTTGTTAAATAATCAACAAATGTTTTGTAACACTTATTGATTAGTTTCCCTTTTTTTGTAATTTTTTTTTAAATTTATTTAGCTATTAAGCATTTATGATTCAATTTTATAAATCCAGAAATTCTTATAAAAAAAAAATTTTTTAAACAATGCGTGTTTTTTTTAAGTTCCCGTTTTCCTTGTTTTTTTGTAGGGGTCGAATCCTTTATTAATAGAATATAAAACATTATGGGAATTAACGATTTAATTTTGGGGGAAGGGAGTTTTTTTGTTTATTTTTTAATACCTTTAGTTCTATGGAAGAAAGTGATCCTTGAAGGCCTCTTAAAAAAACAAAAACAAAATACGATGGTAATCACATAAACAATAAAGGGATAATTATTTTATATTCTTTTTCTAGTAAAGTGCTTGTATTTCGTAGCTGTATATGCATTAAAATTTAAAAGTATCTAACTTAGATCACTCTTAGAAACAAACTTAGGCCAGAGGAAAGGCATTTTCTATTTTGGGGACTTTAATCCGAAAGACCCTTCATGGATCCGCCAGTGTCTTTATATAATTATTCATAACGGCTATACGGGTTTTATCTACTTAAAAACGACAGAGTTATTGCTAAAACGCTGCATTCTTATTCACTGAATAATTATAAGTATAAAAACGTTAACAGAGAAATACGTGTGAAAGCTATTTGATGAAATTGTTAGTATAAGTCTCATGGGAATGTACCCATGAACTTGCTCCCTGATTAGTAAATATCGGTTCTGTGTTATCTTTAGGCAGCTCATGTGAAACAGCATTTCACAAGTACCGCCTTACGCCGTGGCAGTATCCACGAAATTACGTTTTGAGAAATCCTCCAGGGACGGAAACCACAGCACACGGTCCGTTTACGGACAAGGGTACCCCCGGTACACGATTCTTCACGAAGGATTGCGATTTCCTGGATACGGTTCGATCCATGCTGTTCTACTTCTGAACAAAAGTGAGCGGGCCCCCTCGCTGGGAAATTTAGAGACGTCGAAAGCTGATATAACCGATTGGTTCCGTCGGTTTCAGATTGCAGAGTGGAAATTGAAAGTCCTTAGTTATTTTAAGTACCATTTCACACAGACATTCTGGTGTTTTTTCACACTTCTCCATTTCGCATCACACCAACATTTCTGAATAGAACAATTAGAGTAATCTGTCGAACTTCGTAGTTGGAAAAGAAATAATCGAAACCACCGAATGGTTTGAAAGCTAAGCTTTCGATGATGGGAAACTTTATGGTTCACAGACAGAAGATTGTCTTTATGTAACCAACACCTTGCAAACTTTTAAGATACATTCATGTTCCTCTCACTTATCGAATCTTCTAAATGATATACAACATGATATATATATATATATATATATATATATATATATATATATATATATATATATATATATATAAAGGAACATTAAAATTTTATCGGTATTTAATCCTTAACTCCAACCTTTCCACACATGAAAATGGCTGCCGTATAATTATCCAAATGAACATGAAAATATGATTCCAGATTTGAATATCGTCGATTATTTATGGGCTTACACAGCTCGGAAATCAAAATATAACGTCAGTCAATGATCTTAAAACTAATCCATTTGTAAATAGCCTCCTAATTGACTTCATAGTTGATCCAATCAATGTCTAAATGGTACTGAAAAACTGTATGTCATAAATGTAAGCATGTCAAATACATTTTTTATTTCTCTCTCCTTTCTCGGCTTTTAGGCTATACGGGGTTTTCCGAGCTGGGGGATGAGGGCAGGGAATTTAAAATCCCTTCCGGCACCGGCACTCGAACTCGTACTTTTATTTAATATATCATACCGGGAAACTCGCGCTGCTGTGAACACGTGTTAGCCCATTCGACCACCCCGCCCCCATGTCGAAAATAATTACAAAATACTATTTATGTTGGCTGATTTCTCTCCTTAATGCACAGAACCCGTAGGCCTTTTGGTTTCGATGTGTTGGCGGTTTCCATCCAATAAAAGAGAAGATTAGCAGTAAGTGAAATGGTAGCAATTTCTTTTATCGAAATGATATGCGGTCGGGGCTGTGAAAGTGCTGTCCTCAGCCGGGGCCTTATGTTAATGTCTCTTTGAGAGAGTTATTCCAAGTTTTTTCCTTTTTTTTTCTTAGGTCGGTTCGAGTGTTGATTTAATGTATACTTCTCCAATGTGAAAGCACTAGTATTACTAAGTCGAAAATAAAAAGTTCTCCGTTTTCTAAGTTATGAGTTATTTGTACCAGTGTTCATCTGGTGTTCGAAGTTCGATCATAATCATTGAATATTTGAGGAAATTATAAATGAATTTATAAATATCCAACATTTTCTTTTTTCTATTCTTAAACATTCGTACACACACTTTTTGTATTTACAAAACAAAATTGTTCAGTACCATTGGTTTTATTTTCTTCAGCCCATTTTTGGGAATGTATGTTAAATACATAAATTAAAAGGGCTTCAAGGAGAATAATTTAGACAAGTATCATTGAATTCAAAACAGACGTTTTGGATATAATCTATAGAGATACGCGTTTTTCCATCATCATTTTGAAACGTAAGGCTTGATTTTAATGAAATTTATATAAAATCACTTCTGAATTTAATTGCGATAATGTACCGAAATTACAAAGCAATCGGTGGAGAACCTTCGGTGATAAGTAGTTTTGAACAATGTACATTTACCAACTTGTAGGCAACCATTATTTTCTACCACTCCTTTCAGTCTTTTTGTAATGGAGTAACACTTTTTTTGGCAAATTCTGGTCTCAGCCTGTTCCACTCTTCGAGGAGATATATTTTAAAAGACTTCTTTGCTAGAAATTCAGTGATTTTTCAATCCTACCTCCAATTTTGCCCGCAGGTGTTCTGTCAGATTAAGATCTGTTGCCTGTGGTGGAGTTTTTATGTCATCAGGAGTGTTTGGGGTCATTACTCTGATAAAAATTAAATTTGTTTTTATCCCGGAATTTTTCGAAATTTCCTTCGAGTTTCTTCTCAAAATATCTGCGTAAACATATTTATTCACTGTACCATGTGAAGATTCCCTACACCAGAATCCGCCGTACACCCCACACCAGGAAACAGAACACAGCATAAGAACAAGAAAAGAGACAAATTAATAAGAAGTTTATTAATGGCAATAAATTATTATTTTATTAGCCAAAGTTCACGAACATACCAACGTACTTATACAAAACATGGCCACGAGGCATATGCCAGAAAACGCCCTACGAGTGCTGAAAAGGAGCTGATTTGGCGACCTCCTGAATTAACTTTTTTTCAAGTTAGGAGTAGGTGCCGATGGGTACATACCTGTTTTATTCCTGACATGCCAATTCTATCAATAAAGATCACATCTACTTATTGTTACAGGCTGTGACGGGTGTGGATTAAAAAAAAAATGTTAAAAAAAAAAATTGGTCCAGGAGTTTTGGAGAAAATGCGCGGACGGCGGACGGACAACAAAAAAATTATTCGTTTTTCGAATTCTACCTATCCTGAAACGTAAAACCTCAAATTTTTAGAAGAGACTAAGTTTTTGAATTTTTCGGTCGATCACAATGGGCCATTATTGAATATAATAAACCAAAAATATTTAATAATAGCGATATCTCTACTAATAGTGCTTTGATTTCGATGAAGAAACTTCCTTAATTTTTAGGAAATTTAAATATCTTTGAAATATCTTATCACAATATCAACAAAAAAGTGTATACTTTTTGAGTTATTCGGAATTTAATTTTAACATCGCTCGTAATTTTTTTCCAGCTTCTTTTCGTTGAAGTATGTTATATAGATAAATTTAAAGGAAGTGGAGAAGAAGACTTTAGCCAAGTTTCATTGAAATCTGTACATTCACTTAGGCGCTACAATCTATAGCAATGCAGATTTTTCAGGCGCTATTTTAAAAGTAAAAGGCGGATAGTCATGTCGATGAAGGAGGATCATCTTCGGGTGACCTCTGATTTTAAATCTAAATTTGAAAAAAAATCGGTCCAGTGGTTTCGATGAAAATTCGTTGACGGCGGACGAACAAAATAATTGTTATTCGTTTTTCGAATTCTACGTATCCTGAAACGTAAAACCTCAAATTTTGAGAGGAGGTTAAGTTTTTAAATTTTTTGGTAGATGGCAATGGTTAGTTATTCAAAATAATAAACCAAAAATTATTATTTTCAATATAATGTAAATTGAACTATTTTATTCAAAAATTTCTATTAATATCCAAGTGTATCATTTTGACTGTTAGCCGCTGTAGTTCACCATTGAAAGATATATTATTATTAGAAAACCATCTTGGAATACGGTATACTTTCTCATCCAGATGCTTAAGGTTCCTTTAATTATGTTTCATGCGGGCTGCCCACAAGTCCCACGAGTGGATATTCCTGCCTTCTCAAGAAGGATGAGGGTACCTATCCCTTTGTTTTCTTCACTATGTCCGTGCGCCTTCCTTCACAGATCAGGCAAGTGTTGATGTGAAGGAATGTGAACTGAACTGGACAGACATGTCCGATTACTTGAAGCTGATCGATATTTCGTAACGCTGTTTCAAACATCTGTACAATTGCAATAACTAGGGGGTCATGCAGTGATGTGAATTTTTTTTTAAAATGTACTAAATGAGCTGATAACATAAGAACCGAGTTGATTATACATCAAAATTAATATTAAATCCATAAAAGGTAGTTATGGTTGAGAAGTTGCGGGTTGCAGTCTCTGAGAAATACAAATAAAAATATTTATCTGAGGTATATCAATAAAAATTAAGTAACAGCTTTACTCTCTCAACAATTTTTCTTTATTTTTATGGCGTTTCGGGCTCTCTTTCAGACTAGAAATTACAAAACATTTTTGTTATTTGTATTTTTATATTATCATTACAATATTTTTTTATAACTTATAACATCAATAATAGATTTGCCAATCTTACCCGTATCTCATCCTTCTATCGTCTTATTTTTATACATTTTCTTGTATCATCTAGAAGGATGAGATACGGATAAGATTGGCAAATATGTTATTGATATTATAAGTTATAAAAAATATTGTAACGATACTATGAAAATGCAAATAACAAAAATGTTTTCTAATTTCTAGTCTGAAGATGGGATAATAAAGTGATCCCGAAACGTCATAAAAATAAAGAAACAATTGTTGGGAGAGTAATAGTAACATCCGCCTGAAACTTTGTAAATAGTTACATCTCATCGTAACCTACAACTATTTTATTTATGAAAACTCTTGGAATTGGAGCGTTTTCAATCTGGAGGGAGCAAACTTTGTCTAGTTAATTAGGTACTAAACAATCGTAAAGACCATTTGCTTTCTACTTGGATCGTAATTTGATCACAAAATTGAGAAATGATGTGGCCTCCAAAAATATTTAGTCGTTTGGCGTGACCTACACCCTCTAATTTCCAAAATTACGAGGTTTTATAGAGGACAAATGGCCCAATATATTTGTAGATCGTCTTTTTAATCGATTTTTTGATCAAATTATCCTATGATGATATACGAGTTTTTAGCACCTAATTAAACAGACAAAATTTGTCCCCCTCCAAATTGAAAACGCCCCAATTCCAAGATTTTTCGTAAAAAAAATAGTTGTTACGATGAGATTAAACTATTTAGGAAGTTTCAGGCTAATGTTAATAATTTGATAAAAAGGGGGTCTACCATGGACTATAAAGCGGTTACTTAACATTTATTTATATACCTCAGATCTAAAAGCATTAGCTGAAAAATCTGACTCGCTTAAGTTTTAGGTCTAAAAACTATATTTGAGAATAATGTTTTATAGATAGAAGAATTCGAGCATTATTTGTGCAAAATAAGGTACTCCAGTGGTATAAACAATGATTCACCTCATAAATCTGCAATAAATAGAAAATATTAGTTATCTTTTTGTTGCATATAATGCTTACAGAACTATTGATGTTGAGTAACAGGACAGATAATGTTGAGTAATAGTGTTCTGAATAATATCTAAAATAGTGTTGTTTTAAATACTTACAATCAAGATAATATTACTCTGATGGAAATACATATATCTTTACAAAATTCATAAGAAAAAAGATCTAATACAATGTTGCACTAATGTCATTTGCTCATCAGTCGGTGACAGACTAAGAACACAACATAATGTTTTAAGTTCAAGTCATTTGGACCACGATTTCACCATACACCATCGGAATGGAGCGATCGATCTCGTGGTTTCCTCACACACTATCAGTTGGTTTAATGGCATTATGGACTACAAATGATGGATATTCAACTCACTGGATATCCAAATAATCCTGTCAGTTCATTTCTTCCTCATCGGTTTCCCCACAGACGGTAAGATAATAATGCGACATCACTCCATTTTGATGAATAGACTGGTCGTGTATGAGATGTGTTTACAGAGCCAACTCTACTATTTAAATATATTAACTATCACTCGAGTTTTAATTAATATCCTATTGTTCAATATTCTGTCATTTTATTATTATATTCAATAATGAACCTCTGTAATCTACCTAGAAAAAAAAATATATAACTCCGCTCAAAATTTCGGATCTTACGTTGACAAGATGAATATGGTTTATCCTCCATTTTGTTTCAACATGGTGGACAATTAGAGAAATTCATACGTCCGTATCTCAACCATTCTTGTATATAGAAGAAAAATAAAAGTAAAAGCCTTCAAGTGCCAAAACTACAGTTTTTCTTAAGACGAAATAAACCGTGAATCTTTTTTTTAATTAATTAGATTTTTCGTTCAGTTTTTATTCCATTCTCAAGACAAAAATCTAATGTTTTAAATATAGAAGAGAGTAATATAGAAAATCAAGAGATATTTATATAATTTGATCTATACCCACTTTAAGCCTCTGTTAACCTTTGAATGTTACTTGATTGGAATTTGTAAATATACTTGAGTATCGTATCCAATCAGATCAAGGTATTAGCATATATTTGCAAACTGAAGTCGTAAATATACCAAGTCAATCCCTAGTCGTAAATTAACGAGACAAGTCGCATCTTAATAGTTCCTCCTCGTCCATCTTCCATGACCCACTTCAGAAGGTCATCTTCATCTTTAATTATTTGTTATTTATATTATTTTAATATAAATAATTCCTAATTCCAAAACCCTTTGGGTTGTAGCGGTAGAGATATTTTATTTTAATATTTTAATTCTAGTTTTGAAATGAATAATGAAAAATAAAATATAATACCAAGAACGTTGTAATGGAAGAAATTCGCTATTGACTTATCTTTACTCGTAATGTATTTAAACCCTTAAAGTTCCTAATTTTTTATTATTATTTTTTATGATATGTTGTTAATATTTTCAGGTTAAAGAAATATTGAAAACAGTTAAACATTTTTAAATAACAGTAACTATTTTTATTTTAAAAGTTGTCTCTTTTTATATATATGTATCTTAAATAGATTATTTACTTTACTAATACTAATGAGGAGTTTTCATTCGCTGTTGTATCTACCACGAACGAACCCCCAGAGATCGGAGATTTCCTTGAGAGACACCCAGCCCATTGGAAGTTGATCCCCTTGTTACGGACATGGGATAACTCATGCGATAGAATTTTCATATACTTTAAACTATTATATTTAGAATAGTACCTATTTGTAGAATAGATACGTTAAGTTTGGTAATATAGAGAGTGCGTGAATTTCTCTTGAAAAGGTCCGATGAATGTATTTAAAAAGTTCTATTCTATACCTACCATTTTTCCTACTGCCACCTTATTTACTATCAGCGTGTAGACTAGAACAATACCACTATCTCACTTTCATGTCAATACTGCCACTTAAATGAAATTGCCACCGTGTAAACGTGGCTTTAGAATAAACCCACCCTCACGCGCAGTATCAGAAATGTGAGAATCTCTGGAACACATACAATGAATCTCATGTAGGTATTAGTTAATCGTCTTACAGCCGTTTCATAATAGTTTCCTAGCTAATATATATTTTTTTAAAACTTTTATTATGATATTTACAACTGCGTTAGTATGAATACATCAAGTAAATGTGTACAGAGCAATATAATCACACGAAACACGCTTGTTGAGAAACTACCTATTGGTAGCACTCTAATAATTTGTCTACATAAGGAGATCACGAGGCCATCTTCTTTTCAGATTCCTCGGAGTGTTATCAGGAATCGAAGAGGAAGCAAGGTTAGAAACAAGAGGATTCGGATGGTTATGAAGTTTATTATAGAAGGATAGATATCTGGATTTGGCCAAATCGGAAACATATGGAACTTTGAGATCTTTATGGATTATTTTATTTGTGACAAAGTAAGGAGCATTGAGGATTTTACGAAGGATTTTGGATTGTAAAGATTGGATACGAGAGGAATTTGATGGCTTAGTTGAGTCCCATAGCTCAACTCCATAAGTCCAAATAGGTCTTATTATAGCCATGTATATGAGTCGTTTGTAATTAATTGGAAGTTTAGAGCGTTTGTCCAGTAAGTGTTGGAGTAAGCGGAAACGTCGAGCAGTTTCTTGTCGTTTCAGTTTTATATGAGGATTCCAAGTAAGACGTTTGTTATTTTCTAATATTAATTCGATTATCGAGTGTAGACATTTATTACTCTTTTTTTTTTTAATATTTTATGATTTATTGAAGGAAGTTAGTCGACTGTCATATAACAAAGGAGGTAACCAACCAGTAAGTAGTCATTTTTCAATAATAAAAAATCTCATAATGACTGCTTATTGATTATTTATCTTATGTTAATATTTTATAAGAACAAATATAGGTAATTCTTTGGGTGCATTAAATGGAGTTTATATGATTCGAGTTTGATTGAGAATGATCCGACTGGATGATCAGCTGGTGAAGGGTGAGCGGTGGGGGGAGTAAACGACCGCCTCCCCACTCCAGTTTGAGATCCTCAGTAGTGCGGGAGCCGTGGCAACGTGAGGCTGCAAGGTCGTGTCATGTTCCGATGAAAGTGCGAGCTTACCCTGGCCGGGCGATGCTGAGCTACGAGGCCAGCTGGGCCGGGCTGGACCAGCTCTGGGCGGCACCCTCCATCACCACCACCGCGTCATCCTTCGAGTACCTCCCGCGGCTCCTCCTCGACAGCGACCGCGAAGAGGAGTTCCTCATCCCCAGGCCCAAGCTCATAGTCCCAGTGCACACCTATGGCATCAGGAAGCGGAGGACGGGCAACCTCCACAGCCCGCGGACCGGGAGTGGCGAGCAGGTCACCTCTAAGGAGTCCAATCAGCGGCAGGACACCAGGGCGCACCACAAGTCTTGTCCAGGTAGTTAGTGCCTTATCTATGTATCTTATTCTATGGAACTTGCTAAGTCCCGTAATATACCAAAAGCTATAGCAAACTCCAACAAATACAAAATTAAGGACTGATGATGTTTTCTATAAATCATCATATGTACAAAGTCATACATTTGCCTCCTAAGTAGTTGTCAGAACTGTATTACCAGCAGTAATAATATATATCTTATATATTATACATCTCAGACAATGTTACTCCAGAAAGTATCGTTTTCTGATCTCAGTAGCTTCCATATTATATCACAACCCCATAAACTATACACAAACTTTAACAAAGAATTCTAATGAAGCCCTGTTGGTGTGTTCTGGACGTAATCTTTTCCCTACATTTATACTTTTTCTACCTCAATAGTTGTCAAAAATGTATTCCTTGGATTTATAATCAAGAAATGGCATATCTGTTCTCTAACTCACCTTGTCCATGTAATTGGAGTCTTATATACTTCTCATCTCCGATATATTATGGAACCTCTATAAGTAGCTTCCATAATATATCGGAAGCCATCACAAACTCTTCCAAACAACACTAATGAAAGCCTGTTGACATTTTCTGAACATTATCTTTTACTGACATCCATGCTTCTTATTCCTTAATAGTTGTCAAAACTGTATTCCTGGCATTTATATTAATAAATGCATAATGTATAAATAGTCTTATTTACTATTTATCTCAGACAATGTTACTGAGCTTCGATACTATACTACTACACTACATACTACTTATAGCTTTTAGAGTTCAAGGAATGATATGTATTTCCCAACTCGCCTTCAAGCTCTACAGTCTTCGAGGTAGAAAACCTGGACCTCCTTCCCAATTTCATTTAAACTATACGCAAACTCTTCCAGAGAACACTAATGAAGTCCTGTTGGCGTTTTCTGAACATTATCTTTTGCTGACATCCACACCTTTTATTCCTTAATAGTTGTCAAAACTGTATTCCTAGCATTTATTGTGAAGGCATATTTTTTATCTAACTCACGTCATCCAAGTGATTAAAGTCTTATTTACTATATGTCTCGGACAATTTACTGAGATTCCATACTATACTTATTCATAGCATTTAGAGTTCAAGAAATGATATGTATTTCCCAACTCTTCTTCAAGCTCCACAGTCTTCCAGGTAGAGAACTTGGACCTCCTTCCCAATTTGATTTAATCTTTGATTTAAACTATACTCAAACTTTAACAAATAATTCTAATGAAGCCCTGTTGGCGTTTTATACCTTAATAGTTGTCAAAAATGTATTCCTTGCATTTATAATCAAGAAATGACATATCTGTTCTCTAACTCATCTTGTCCATGTAATTGGAGTCTTATATACTTCTCATCTCCGATATATTATGGAACCTTTATAAGTAGCTTCCATAATATATCGGAAACCATCTCAAACTCTTCGAAAGAATACTAATGAAGGCCTCTGAACGTTTTATGGACATTATCTTTTACTTACATCCATACCTTTTATTCCTTAATAGTTATCAAAACTGTATTCCTAGCATTAATTGTCAAGCCATATCTTTTCTCTAACTCACGTCATCCAAGTGATTAAAGTCTTATTTACTATATGTCTCAGACAATTTACTGAGCTTCCATACTATACCTATTCATAGCATTTAGAGTTCAAGGAATGATATGTATTCCTCAACTCGCCTTCAAGCTCTACAATCTTCCTGGTAGAGAACCTGGATCTCCTTCCCGATTTAATTTAATCTTTGGTGTCTTTCATTTCATGTATGGTCATCACAGCTTAGATCATTATAATCCAAAACGAATTATTTACATTAATTTTTACATTAGCAAGATTTTAAGTGCTGAAGCCTTGCAAAAGACCGGTTGCTATGATCGATAAGCTTAGAAACTTATTTTATTTCTATTCTACCTTGCCTTTAAGACAATACAATGTCGGAAGAAAATAATTACGTAGACTTGTGTGCGTAAAATTATTTACTATTTTTAAGTTCTTCAGTGTCTAATTCCTGGATTATATCTGAGTGATGACATATTTGGTAAAGTTACTTTATCATAATTTATAAGCTTTTCGACTCTCAACTTTAGTGCCTAATTCTATAAAAAAATAAAAAGTATTTTTTGTTGCCGGTACGTTTTTAGTAGAAACCCTCCTTAGACCCGCTCAAGTGGACCCTAGACCTAGCACCTACCTCTACTGTCACTGGCCCTTCTACGTCTAGCGTGTGCCCTCTGTCTCTCAGACACCCTCATGAGTTATTTGGAATACCAATTTGCCTGTATACCGCCTTTTTGATCTTCTGCCGCCTAAACAGCCATATTCATATTTATTTATCTGTTTCTAGATACAATTGCTCTATTTCCTAAATTATCTCATCTGTTCATATTAACTATAATTTAACTGAATATTGTGCATATATTATATTAAGCATATCATTCTTGAAACTTTGTCCATGATGTTCTGTAACATAGTTTATTGCCAGTTGGCAATTGTTTCTGTCATCAGTAGCATTTTATCAAACGATTCGTTAGTATTTAAAGCTGCCGTCTTGTCAATATTACGTAACAACTCTACAAAACCCCGTGTCTTCATCTATTTGAGTATTTGTTGGACATTTTTAACAACCGTGTGTTAATTTCCCACAATTAGAAAACAATGTAATGTTTAGTAAAAAAATATCAGGATTCTGTGAAACATCATGTAATCATATCAGGGAGGACAGTTGATATTTAAATTTAAATCTTTGCAGATGTGGACGATTTTTTATTATTAATTAATAATGCAAATCAACCTGTTAATAATATTTTTTTAATTACATAAATGTGTACGTATAATTACTCACCTAGAATTAAAATTCAGAACAATTTTGTTTGCACAGTATACAATTTTGTTTAGAAATAATTTCGAACGGCACATCTTAGTTAACTTTTTCAAAGCTTAATAAAAATAATCATATAAACTAATTAATTGTTCATTTAATAAAGTTTTGATTGGTATTCCGAGACTTTATAGGTTCGTTACGTTTTAAAACAAAGCAATTCCCTTTCACCTGTCATATTCAATTTACTTATAATTTTTTTTACAGATGCGAAGCGCTGCAATTCCATTTAATGACGCATTATTGTTTTTTTTTTGGGGGGGGAGGGAGAATGAGGTATTGTGTAAAATATTTAGATCGAAGAAGGATAAGTCAATCGGGAAATTAAAAAAAAATCCCAATATATTTTTACAAAATATTTGATTTGTTTGTATAAAATGTGGTTGGACTATAATATATTTAATGAATAATTATAATCAATTCATTGCCATGAGCCTGTCAACTTCGTGCATAGCTTGTCAATAGTACTGGGCGTTCTTATCGTTATAAAAAAATTGATGTAAAACTTACAAAAAATAAATCGAGGTCATTGGATTTATTTTAAAAAAAAAGTAATTTTCCCCTTGAAATGTTGAGACCTGGTTTCACTTCAACGGTTCGCTGGTTTTCCCGAAGACCATTAAAAAGACGATGGAAGGCCACACTTACATTCGTTTGTTCTAATCACATCTTCAAACTAAAATTACAAAAAAAAATAATTGGATGGAAGTGTTGCCCATTTGCGTATATTGTTATTTTCGAAGGTAGCAATCGGAAAGCTTCGGTTGTATCATTATTTTGCTAATGCATTTTGCCTATTTTCTTGACAAAATTCTGCTACCCGAATCAATTGTCCCTTTCGCTCCCTCTAATTCGTCTTTGATTCCACTACTTTCTTATTCTACATTTTATAATTTACAATATATTTTACGGATATATTTATTATTTACATTAATTAAAGATAATCTGATAATGAGCGAGGATATTCTAATAAGCCATTGAGCGGTCCTCCGCAGAAGGTCGGGCTACATCCATGATTAAATAATGATCCAATTCATCTACTCGTTCTCAAGGCTCTGCTTTCAAAATTTCCTTCATTCAGTTGCTATTTATAGCATATTTGAGCCTTTTTAATTTGTAATAAACTATCATTTTAACTATAGATCTACTTCTTAATGATGTTTTGTTCCGGCCGGCCGAAAAAATGAGAAAAAATCAATTGCGATTTCCAAAATAATCCTAGTTCGCTTTCAATTAACCATGAAAATAATTTAGATTTACTCGAGTAATTTCAATGAGTAAAATTTTATTTTAAGTTGTATTTACAAGTAATGGTAATAATAAATTATTTATTTATACTGTAGGTAAGATAATGGTTTTATAGAGTCAAGTTGTTAAGTTCCGGGACAAGAGCCGGGAGCCATGTAGTTTTGTCACAGAAAAATGACAAGCATTTCCCGCCTTCAGCCTAACCTTAATCTCCTCTTCAATTTCATTTTTTCTAGTTATCGTAGACCCTAGATACTTAAACTTTCTCAATTGCTATCGATATTAAAAAGTTATAAATAGGAGACCTCGCGCGGGCTCAAAACTAAATACGACAACGTTAATGAAAGCCGGTAAAGAACTAGGACTCGAAATAAACGTGGATAAAACAAAATATATGGTTAGCTGCAAAAATGGCGATACTACTGGTGATATCGATATAGATGGTAATACGTTTGAACAGGTAGATAAATTTGGGTATCTAGGTTCTACGATAACTAGAAAAAACGAAATTGAAGAAGAGATTAAGGTTAGGCTGAAGGCAGGAAATGCTTGTTATTTTTCGGTGACAAAACTACTTAGTTCGCGCCTCTTGTCCCGGAACTTAAAAACTAGAATCTATAAAACAATTATCTCGCCTACAGTTCTTTATGGATGCGAAACTTGGCCGCTTACACTAAGGGATGAACAGCGTCTTAAGGTTTTTGAAAATAAAGTATTGCGTAGAATATTCGGACCGAAGAAGGATGAGTTAACCGGAGAGTTCAGACGGTTACACAACGCCGAATTGCGTGAGCTGTATCCGGGTAATATAATTGAGGTAATTTCATCGCGGCGAATCAAATGGGCGTGTAAAGTTATTGGGCTTAGTAACGAGAGAATT